GAGCTTTAATTATGCCACAGTACAGCACTTCCTGTTATTCAGCTTTAGGCCTCTGCTCAACATGAAAGCATGGATCCATCCTGCCTTGTTTCAATGGTTCAGGCTGGTGGTGTAATGGTTAGGGGAATACTTTCTTGGCACACATTGGGTCCATTAGTACCAACTGAGCATTGTGTCAACGCCACAGCCTACCTGAGTATTGTTGCTGACCATGTCCATCCCTTTATGAGCACAGTGTCTCCATCTTCTGATGGCCACTTCCAGCAGGATAATGCTCCATGTCATAAAGCGTGAATCATCTCAGACTGGTTTCTTGAAAATGACAATGAGTTCACTGTACTCAAATGGGCTCCACAGTCACCAGAGCTCAATCCAATAGAGCACCTTTGGGATGTAGTGGAACGGGAGATTGGCATCATGGATGTGCAGCCGACAAATCTGCAGCAACTGTGTGATGCTATCATGTCAATATGGAGCTAAACCTCTGAGGAATATTTCCAGTAGCTTGTTGAATCTCTGCCACGAAGGATTAAGGCAGTTCTGAAGGGCAAAGGGGGTCCAACGCGGAACTAGTAAGTTGTACCTAATAAAGTGGCCAGTCAGTGTACAACACACCACAGTTCACTGGAGGTAAAACTAAAGTATACTAGCTTCTCAGTTCACTATAGGTAATACTTTGCTGTAATATTCAGAAGCACAGCATTGAAAATACTATGATGTTTATATATGTCATATATATATATATATATATATATACACATACATACATATATATATATATGTATATATATATATATACACACATACATACATGCATATATATATATACTCTTACATACATATATATGCGAACGGATTAAAAAATAACACCGTTTTCACCCAGAACAAGTGGAGTGTTGCTTTAATTAAAGACTGAAGGCTGACAAATAGTTTTGTAGTTCAAATAGCATTGTTTTTAATGGCGTTTGTAATGGCGATCTTCTGTGATTAATTTAGAAGGACTTTTGCAGCAGGGAAACACTTCATGATTATATCAGCACATACATATATACATACTTCACATGAGAGCAGTACTGTCAGAATCTGCACGCTGGTGAATTCAATGGCTCTTGTGTGCGTGTGTGTACAGGTTCATGTGGTTTACAGGGACACAAAATTGTATAATGACAATGTCTCTGATAAGCTGGTTTACAGGGTCACACATGTCCCTGTAATTCAAAACTCTTTGAAATCTTATTCAACAAAGTCTTTTGATATTGAAAACAGGTTTACTCTGTCCCACACATGTGGTAGGGTAATATAAGTGGTTATTACAGTATAAAATACATTGCGCCTATGGAGAGTCCCTGTAAACCTGCATTCCTCAACCACGTTCCTAGAGAAGTCCAAGCTCTGCACATTTTTCATGTCTCCTTAAGCCAGAGCCGTCCAAACTCGGTCCTGGAGGGCTGGTGACCTGCAGATTTTAGCTTTAACTTGCTTCAACACACCTGCAAGGATGTTTCTAGACTGCCTAGTAAGAGCTTGATTAGCTAGGCCAGCTGTGTCTAACTAAACTTTGCAGGACACCGGCCCTCCAGGACCGAGTCTGGACATACCATAAGCAAACATACCCGATTCAGGTCATCAGCTCATTAGTAGAAACTGAAAGACCTGTAATGGGTGTGACAGACAAAGAGGACGTCAAAAACATGCAGTGCTGGTGGTCCTCCAGGAACGTGGTTGAGAAACACTTCTGTAAACTATGCGTGTGTGTGTGTGTGTGAATAAAGCTGTCCTGCTGTATTTCCAGGTGTAGAAAGCTTCAGCACACGCATGAAATGTACCACGGTGTCTGATCTGTCAATAAAAGAGTCTCCTCAGACGCACAGAGATCATCCCAGCTGACAAGGAGGACGTTCAACAGGATTCGACCTTTGATCTGTAATTAAAATGAATTGGCAAACCAACAGATCTGTGCAGATCCATTACACTTGAGCAAATACCAAGGATCCTTCATCCAAAAACAAAAGGAAAGCAGTCTGGTGTGCACAAGAACGTTCAGTGTATCGCCATCAGTGTTCGTTATGTGCATCATGACGTATAAATGATACTAACAGGAATAAACAACAGAGGTCGTCCTGTATAAACTCTCCCAGTGCACCTCCTGATGTATTGTGGTCAGTTTCACAGGTCCTGGATCAGTCAGTGATGTGTGTTCTGTCACACTGAGATCAGCTTATGTGTGTCGTCTTGTTCTGCTCCAGCCTTCATCACTTTCGTAGTGTCCTGTTTGGGCAGACCGTACAGGTAGATGGACACACACACCAGCAGAGCTCCGCTGATGAACGTCAACGCTGCAGACGAAATAGAGGACGTCAACACACACTGCAGTACACAATAAACACTTTACAACATCTAACACGATCTTCAAATCACATGCTGTACTGACTTTTATTCTGTTTTACATTTACTTCTATTTTCTGATGACACTACGGCTGAACGATAAATCAAATGTGTTTGTCTCACGCATTATTCTATAAAATCAGATCTGTAATCAGCTGTGAATCTCCAGCTCGTGTGTTCAGCTGGAGAAGCGTTTACTACACAAAGCCATAGTTCTCTGAAACTACGCAAAATATCGTATACAAGACTCGCAAATCGCAAATAATCATTCCGCGATATTGACAGCTTTTCGAGTCGCTTCTATGTGAACTATGGCTCTTTGTAGTAAATGTTGCTAATGTGAAACCTAAAAGCGTATGGAAGCAACTCCTGCCACATGATAAAATTTTTTTTAAATATTTAATTATAAAATCGCAACTCTGAGTTAGTCGCAATTCCGAGTTATAAAATCGCAATTCAGAGTTGTTGCTAATGTGAAACTTGATGAAATATTTTTTTTAAATGTGATTATGAAGTCACAATTCTGAGTCACAAAGCAGCCATTACAAATTATTAAGTCACAATTCCGAGTTATAGTCGCAATTCTGAGTGTCGCAATTCCGAGTTATAGTAGTAATTATAAGTGTAGCAATTCCGAGTTATAAAGTGGCAATTCCGAGTTATAAACATAATTCCGAAAGTCACAATTTTGAGTTTTAAATTGGCAATTCCGAGTTATAGCCGCAATTCTGAGTTATAGTCGCAATTCCGAGTTATAAAGTAAACAATTCTGAGTTATAGTAGTAATTTCAAGTGTCGCAATTCTGAGTTATAGACATAATTCCGAAAGTCGCAATTCTGAGTTATAGTCACAATTCTGAGTTATAGTCACAATTCCAAGTTATAAAGTAACAATTCCGAGTTATAGTAGTAATTATAAGTGTCGCAATTCCGAGTTATAAAGTGGCAATTCCGAGTTATAGACATAATTCCGAAAGTCACAATTTTGAGTTTTAAATTGGCAATTCCGAGTTATAGCCGCAATTCTGAGTTATAGTCGCAATTCCGAGTTATAAAGTAAACAATTCTGAGTTATAGTAGTAATTTCAAGTGTCGCAATTCTGAGTTATAGACATAATTCCGAAAGTCGCAATTCTGAGTTATAGTCACAATTCTGAGTTATAGTCACAATTCCAAGTTATAAAGTAACAATTCCGAGTTATAGTAGTAATTATAAGTGTCGCAATTCCGAGTTATAAAGTGGCAATTCCGAGTTATAGACATAATTCCGAAAGTCACAATTTTGAGTTTTAAATTGGCAATTCCGAGTTATAGCCGCAATTCTGAGTTATAGTCGCAATGCCGAGTTATAAAGTAAACAATTCTGAGTTATTGTAGTAATTTCAAGTGTCACAATTCTGAGTTATAAAGTGGCAATCCTGAGTTATAGACATAATTCCGAAAGTCGCAATTCTGAGTTATAGTCACAATTTTGAGTCATAGTCACAATTCCAAGTTATAAAGTAACAATTCCGAGTTATAGCCGCAATTCTGAGTTATAGTCACAATTCCAAGTTATAAAGTAACAATTCCGAGTTATAGTAGTAATTATAAGTGTCGCAATTCCGAGTTATAAAGTGGCAATTCCGAGTTATAGACATAATTCCGAAAGTCGCAATTCTGAGTTATAGTCACAATTCCAAGTTATAAAAGTAACAATTCCGAGTTATAGTAGTAATTTCAAGTGTCGCAATTCTGACTTATAAAGAGGCAATTCTGAGTTATAGACATAATTCCAAGTGTCGCAATTCTGAGTTATAGTCACAATTTTGAGTTATAAATTGGCAATTCAGAGTTATAGTAGTAATTTCAAGGGTCGCAAATTCTGAGTTATAGTCACAATTCCGAGTTATTAAATGGCAATTCTGAGTTATAAAGTGGCAATTACAAGTTATAGTCGCAACTCCATGTCGCAATTCTTAGTTATAAAATCGCAATTCCGAGTCATAAAGTCAGAATTCTGAGTTCTAGATGGAATTTTGAGTTATAAAGTCGCAATCCCGAGTTATAGTCACGATTCCGAGTTATAAAGTAACAATTCCGAGTTGGAATTGCAACTATAACTCAGAATTGCGACACTCGGAATTGCAACTATAACTCAGAATTGTGACTTTATAACTTGGAATTGCCACTTCATAATTCAGAATTGCGACTATAAGTTATAAAATTGCAATTCTGAGTTATAAAGTGGCAATTCAGAGTTATAAATTCTGACTTTTTAACTCAGAATCGCAACTTTATAACTCAGAATTGTGACTTTTGGCAGGAACGGGCTTCCATATAAGCATGTGCAAATACCAGATATGATGTTTTAATCAACTCACTTCATAGCTTTAGTCGAGGGTTTAAATAATAAAACATGTGAAATGATACGTCTTCTTACACAGAATAAAACACAAAACACATTTCATAATAGCATTCTAATAAGCAGTGACAAAAGTGTTGGACCATTACAAATCTGTCCGGAGATTTACTGCTGTGATTTACTGTGATCCGTTACACCCATAGGATATAAGTATATGGATGTGAACACATTCACTGATGAGACTGTGTTATTCAGAAGTTGTTATCTGGGAATAACAGACCTTGAAATGTCACGACTGACCAATCAGAATGCAGTATTCCAGACAGCCGTGTAATAATGTGCATAACAACCTCCTGGATGTACTTTACCCCTAACATACTGAATTATCGAAAGTCTCCTGAGCGTTAGTTGTAAACAAGAGCTGCACTCACTGATCTGCAGGCCGAAGAGCAGGACGGAGGCCACGGTGGACAGGACGATAGCAGCGGCCGCAGAGAAGCCCTTCATGATGTTATCAGTGTATTTGACCACCACAGACGTGTACATTCCTCCCACACTCGCCAAAACTGCAGGAGAACACAAGGAGGACAAGTTACTTAAAGGGGACCTATTATGCTCCTTTTTACAAGATGTAAAATGAACGAATCACTCCCTGAAAGGACTTGTAGTTCCTGAGTCATGTTGAAGATTCGTTCAAAATGAACGAATCGTTCAAGAACCACACCTCACTAGTTCATATAAGCATGTGCAATTGTCTGAGAATCTAACCTTCTTTAGCTAAAAAAATAGAAATATTCTACTAAATATGATTTGTATAACAACCAAACACACAATCGCACTGATGTACAGGGTCGGCCCTGGGTGTACGAGTTTGCAGTGCAAAATACCTTATTAATAACCAGATAGGATGATTTAGAGAACTCACAGACCACCAGGCAGACCCAGGGTGTGTATCCGTAGAAGAAGCCTTTCTCCAGCACTCGGGCCCCATCCGTCATGTAGACGCCCATGAGGGTCACAGCAATCCCAGACAGGTACATCTGAATGTTTCTGACCCACAGAGACGTGTCTGAGCTCTTCAGGACCTTCTCGAAGTACACTCCTGATGCACAAATGCGGGTAGATTTCAGCATGGGCAAGGTGAATACAACTTTTACATTTTAGTTTCACTCCTGTGAATTAAAAACTATTTGCAATGCAGCCCTACGAAACCACAGCCACACCACTTTTATTGCATTCATTAGAGTTAATTGTAAATATGAAATTTAATAAATTATTATAATATATAGCAATAGGTGAGGCAGTAGGTAGTGCTGATGCCTCACAGCAAGAAGGTTGCTGGTTCGAGCCTCCGCTGGGTCAGTTGGCGTTTTTGTGTGGTGTTTGCATGTTCTCCATGAGTTCGCGTGGGTTTCCTCTGGGTGCTCCGGTTTCCCCAGTCCAAAGACATGTACAGGTAAATTTGGTAGGCTAAATTGTCCGTAGTGTATGAGTGTGAATGAGTGCGTGTATGAATGTTTCCCAGAGATGGGTTGTGGCTGGAAGGGCATCCGCTGCGTAAAAACATGCTAGACAAGTTGGCGGTTCATACCGCTGTGGCGACCGCATATTAAAAAAGGGACTAAACCGAAAAGAAAAAGAATGAATATATAGCAATATATAATAACATATTTAGTTACTCTGATTATATGGTACAACCTGAAGAGTATGTAGCAGTCAACTTCTGAAGTGGATCAAAAAAAGTTCAAATTTTTGTGGTTTTAGATTAGCTAAATCAAGTAAAATCACTTAAATCATGTCATTTTTAACATGCCAAAGATAAATTAAAGCATATTTAATGTATTTTGCTAGCAACAAGATTGTGGCTAGTGAAAATGCAGAGTGGCTAGTTAAAAAAATGCCGAGTCCTGAACCTGACTGAATAAACCCTACTGAGCGTACCTGCAAACCCGGAGCACAGCACCGCCACCGCGATCGCCATGAAGCCCAGGAACGGGTTTTGCTCCACCTGCACACACACACACACACGCATTATAAATCTACACTAGTACAGCTTTCACCCAAGTCAACAAACTAGACTCCTCCTCGAAGCCAAATGTCAAATTCTCTGACTTTTCCCTGACTTCCATGATCTATAATGAACAGGAAAAACACTGGCTGTTTCTCAATTCCAAGAACGCTGAGAACGGACTTGTGTTCTTGTGGAGAGCGGTCTTGCCAGGTGTCCTCGGAAGAACGAACTCTGGAGACTACGAGAACAGAGAACGCATCTTGTGTGAAATGAGATGCTGCGTTCTTCCTGATGGTCATGAGACCTTCACACGTTTTAAATGGAAAATATATTAAACATTCCAGCATTCATACAACGATGTATTGTTTTTCTCCTTTTCAATATATATATATATATATATATATATATATATATATATATATATATATATATATATATACACACTTTACAAATATAAATTGCACAATATAAATAAAACAGATTTTAATACGAATTTCCGCAAACAAACACCCGTAATGTGTTTATTCCTTTGTTAAGATGTCCATGGTGATGTTTATATTCACCATCTCATTTAGGGAAACTACTAAGTTATATCTCTGAACTTTAATAATAAATCGAAATAAAATGCTGCAAATCTCCAGTCGCAATGACTTCTGGGACTTCTAGCGCAAGTTTGTTGCTCAAGTCTGCATCGGTGCATCCACGATATCAAGAACACATCCGGGAAGTTTCACGCGTCCTCTGCTCTTGTAGTCTTGAGTATTGGAACTGAACTTTGGCAGCTGATGATGACGTTACATGAGAAAACGAGGACGCAGGACCGCTGAAGAACGCATATTGAGAAACAGCCACTGTTGTGTAGAGCAGTGGTTCCCAACTTGGGGGTCATGGCCCACAAGGGGGCCTCAGCGAGCTTTGTGGGGGGGTCGCGTCATATTTAAAAAAAATTCTTAGCAGTGGACAATTAGAATAATCCATTATGCGTTAGTTTATTTTATCCCCTAGCTTAGTGGTCCTCAACCACCGGTCCGTGGATCAATTGGTACCGCGCCGCACAAGAAATCAATAATTATTTACGTTTTATTTATTATCCGAGTCTGATCGATCTTTTATTTTGAAAAGTCTTTTATTTTGAAAAATGAGCGTATTATCTTGCTTACGTCTCGATTGGTAACTTGAGCACCAAAATTTAACCGGCAAGCAGCAAAATTAGCAAGAAACATGCGTCTTTACAATCTTTCTTTGCTAAGGGAAAAAGGCCCAGAGAAGGACCCGCGAACTGCCAAGGAACAGATCCGCAGCCCACTTGTCAACAAACCAGGTGAATCCACCATGGCTGTGCAAGAAGATCTACTGATGGAGATCCTAAATGACAGCGGCATATTGCGTATTTCTAGAGTTTGCACAAGTTTGTTTCCAATGGAGGTGCGCGTCATGCGCGCATAAGTGGCGTGACACGCTTGCACCAATGAACCCCGGGCCGCGATGCGAGTGCATTGTGAGTCACGTGACAGGAATTGAGCGATCAGCTTCAGCTTGTATGGAATATTCACATTTCAGTAAGACTAATTTTCAATTTTCTCACAGATCACCCAAACACTGCAGTGCTTTTCTTCATAAATAAAACTTGTATCAGGGCGACAGCAATGTTTTGTCAGTTTGTCATCCTCAGAGAACACGTTTAGCCTACTTTCCTGTTAAAGGAACAAGGGGAAGGAGTAGGGGTTGAAATAAAAAAAACAGAATTGTGATTGGGCCTTACAGTACCTGTACTTTGGTGGAGTGCGGCGGCGTCCACTGCACCAGCGTGACTCCCGCACACAGCATGAAGACGGAGAACCACTGCAGGCGGCTCAGAGAGCGGTTCAGCATCAGCACCGTACACAGCGCCGTACACGGTATCTTCAGCTGGTATGTCACCTAAAACACACACACACACAGGTTAGTTTTTGTGAATAGTAAGGACATTTCATAAGTTTCCATTGCTTTTATACTGTATAAGCTGTATTTTCTATTTCCCTAACAATTTTTTCTACCGCCTAACCTCTACAGCTTTACTTTCTAAAGCCACTAAAAAAACTTTAGCATGATTTATATGCTTTTTTTTGTGTCATAACCATGACATTATACACATTTGTGTACTGATATGCCACAAAAACACATCCAGACACGCAGAAATGCACACACAAATAAACAAAAGCCATTGAAGAGAAGGGGGAGGGGCATGTCAGACACTAGGGAGCATCTGATTGGTCTGAAGATTTGATGAGGAACTGAAGTATGAAGAAACTGAAGCAAAAAATAATTCATCAATTTATGAGGAAGTGGCAACCTGCAGGCTTTGATGCTTATATCTTGTCTTCTAAATGCTAATTTTGTGACTGTTTTGGAGTACACTAGCTTATAGATATCCTGAAGAATGGGTTTCTGCAGGTTTCACCAAGAAAATTTAAGACTAATGCCATTATTAAAGGAAGTTTCATAAATAAACAGGACAAAAAAGTTTTTTTTTCTAATAGCCTGTGGAGTTTACTTGCCCCGTTCAAATACTAATTGAGTTATTCCTCACATTTCTGAATGTGTGTAAACAAACAAACTCTAGTGTAATACATACAATTTGTCCAGCATAACTTTTAACACAAAAAAGGCAAATTTTAAAAACTACAATCTATTAACTGATGTTTTAATGCCATATCAGCAGCATTGGCTATATACATGGTAAAATATTTCCTGAATAAAAACATTCTCTAATATCATTTAAAATTACAAAAGAACTGTAATGAGAGTGTTTTGAAATTGCTTTATGAGCTTCTTTGGATATTTCATAGCTAAAAAAGATCAAAATGTACAACATTTATTGAATATGACATAAATATGACATTTTGGAGGAACTTCTGCTTTGAGTAAATCTCCAAACGTGAGTCTTGTGTCCCAATAAAGCATCTTGTGTAAACAACCTCGAGTCAGATTTTCTTTCTATTCATTCATTTTCCTTCGGTTCAGTCCCTATTTCAGAGGTCGCCACAGCGAAATGAACCGCCAACTTATTCAGCATAGGTTTTACATGTTATACTAAAGCATAGTATATATGTAAAAGTGTATATATGTGTGTGTATACATATATACAAACATATATGATTAACGGAGAGAAGATTTTTTTTCAACATTATTCTAAGCATAATAGTTTTAATAACTCATCTCCAATAACTGCTTTATTTTATCTTTGCCATGATGACAGTAAATAATATTTTACTAGGTCAAGACACATATACAGCTTAAAGTGATATTTAAAGGCTTAACTAGGTTAATTAGGGTAACTAGGCAGGTTAGGGTAATTAGGCAAGTTATTGTATAACAATGGTTTGTTCTGGAGACTATCGACAAAAAATATATAGCCTAAAGGGGCTAATAATTTTGACCATAAAATGTTTTTTAAAAAATTAAAAAACGCTTTTATTCTAGCCGAAATAAAACAAATAAGACTTTCTCCAGAAGAAAAAAATATAATGTGCACACACATAAATACACACATACATACACATACATATATACATAGTGTGTTTGTGTTTTTTCATTATTTATATAGATTTTTTTTATCACAAAATAATTGTAAAAAACTATTTATTTATCTATTAAACTATTTTATTTCTAAAACTATTTATTTATCTATTAAACTATTTTTTTTCTAAAACTTTTTATTTATCTATTAAACTATTTTATTTCTAAAACTTTTTATTTATCTATTAAACTATTTTATTTCTGAAACTATTTATTTATCTATTAAACTATTTTATTTCTAAAACTATTTATTTATCTATTAAACTATTTTATTTCTAAAACTATTTATTTAGCTATTAAACTATTTTATTTCTGAAACTTTTTATTTATCTATTAAACTATTTTATTTCTAAAACTTTTTATTTATCTAATAAACTATTTTATTTCTAAAACTATTTATTTATCTAATAAACTATTTTATTTCTGAAACTTTTTATTTATCTATTAAACTATTTTATTTCTAAAACTTTTTATTTATCTATTAAACTATTTTATTTCTATCTAGTCTAATATTATGGTGCACAGGTGTGTGTGTGTGTGTGATGATGACAGTGGTGTTTCCCTCAGGTGGTCTTTGATGTCTGCTCAGCTCACCTGGTAGACGGCGGCGTCCAGGTTGCTCAGGGCCACAAAGGCCATGTTGTTCTGGATGGCGTAGACCACTGACGGGACGCTCAGCTTCAGCAGCTCTTTGGGACTCCTGAATATATGTGTGACCAAGGCAGCTCGACAGCGGCCCACATCTCCGGTCTCTCTGAGGACAGAACATCACAGAGCAGATCACACACACACACTTCTCTGAGAGCAGATATACACATATACACACACACACTGGGCACGTTTGACAGGTGTGAATGCTCCGAATCGGGCCCATGTGCAGTTTAGTTACCCGGTTGAAGGAGGTATGCCATAGTGCGGTTTGGTTGAGCTTTGGCGCTGTACGCTTGTAGTGTATGTGTGCAAAGAACGCCTGAGCCCGAAACTGAAGATGTGACGTGACTTTTAGAGGACTGTTTCATATTGATTTATTCCTAATTTTTACCGTTTAATGAACATGACAGCTATAGTTTATTAAGGACAGAAACCCCTCACTGCATGACAGCTGCACCTTCAGCAAACCTCCGAACTCCTGCAGCACGAGGACTTTATGAACATTCATGAGCATCAAAAGTGCTGGATCTGTTCAGCAAAAGATCTCACGGTGTGTCACTGCATATCAAACCACTTAAAATAATACAAAACATTATAATTAAAGCAATCTCCACGGTGCTGAGCACTTCTCTCACATATACATACATAATCTCTCTCTCTCACATGCACCCTCACCTGACCAGCATGATGAGACTGAGCAGCAGCTTGATGATCTCGGCCAGGCAGACGGCGGTGGTGGAGAAGTAGAGCTCTGTGGACACTGTCCTGGTGTACCTGAGGGCCACGGTGTATGTGGCGGCGATCAGGGTCATCACAGTCAGACAGTAGAGCTTGAAGAGCACACTCACCGACTCTGAGAAACACACACACACACACACACACACACACACACACACAGGCAGATTAAAACATCACTGCACAAACACACACTTACACAGACATGTATATACAGATAAATATGCATATACACACACACACACACACACACACACACACACACACGACAACTCAAAACACAACCACACAAATATATGCTCAAACTCACACACACACTCAAAAGAACACTAGTGCATCAGAACACATACAAAGAACACACACACACACTATATATATATATATATATATATATATATATATATATATATATATATATATATTTATTTATTTATATAGACAGACGGACAAATAGATAGACACACACACACACACACACCAGCACATCAGAACACACACAAACAGACACAAACACACATTCACTCAGAACACTAGCACATCAGAACACACACAAACAGACACAAACACACATTCACTCAGAACACTAGCACATCAGAACACACACAAACAGACACAAACACACATTCACTCAGAACACTAGCACATCAGAACACACACATATACAGAACACACACAAAAACAAAACACACACACACACACACACACATATACACACACACACACACACACACACACACACACACACAGAGAGAGAACACCAGCACATCAGAACCCACACACACACAATCTAAACAACACTAGCAAATCAGAACACACACAAAACCACACATTTACACATTCTTTCTCACTTACTCACTCTCTCTCTCTCTCTCTCTCTCTCTCTCTCTCACTCACACACACACACACACACACACACACACACACACGCACGCAGACACAGCCAGCCTTAGACGTGTCAGCACTCATCTGCCACTTGTCAGTCGTCGCTTACCGCTCGCCATGTCTGTGTTGTGTCGGTGACTCGGTGACGGTAATGATGGTCGGTTATCTTCCTCTGACTGACGCGACTGTCCACATTTCTGATTCCTGCACGAATGAAGCGACCGTCAGACAGGCACTTCCGAGTGAGCGCACACACGCCTTTCAAAATAAAGGCCCTGTTTCAAATGTACGTCATTCATACAAAACGTACTAGGTAGGAATAAAAAAATAATGAACGGGGGCTTTACATAAAAAGAAAACATATTTTCTTAATCTTCTTATCTTATTAACGAAATTTTATATCCATAAATGTAAATTTTCAAACAAAAAACCTTTTTTTAATATTTTGCTTACTGAAATGCAGCATTACTTTGAAACAGTGTCTAACTCTTTTACAAAAAAGGCTTTAAAAACAACTGAAATTTGTAAATTATATAATCTTTTTCTTTAATGTGTAATGTATTTACCCCTTCTGTTTTTTTTTTGTTATCTGTTGTTGTTTCTTTTTTCAAAAATTTTGTTCTTTTTGTCTCTTCAATTTCTTGTTAATATACTGCGATTGTATATTCTCATTTTTGTATATTAAAAATAATAATAATTAAAAAATAATAGAATAATAAAAAAGACTTCTTATATTTTACAGTAAAACTGATATTATTCATTAGTGTTTTATAGCATAGTTAGTAAAGCCAACTATAAATTACAATCATCACAAAATTAAAATTAATTTCAAACACAGGCCTATTTTGTAAGCTGTACTTGAGGATAAAAATATCACCGAAATACACGTGTATTTAAAGAGTGACGAATTGCTCGCTAAGGTTGGTGTAAAGTCACTTAGGTAAATGTATTTGTTTATTTTGGATTGTGGAAGCAAACGTCTATGTACGCGATTATGCCGCCTCCTGATGGTGAATGTGGTTGTGTACTCGTGACAGGTATAGGGTTGTTTGGTAACTTATTTCACTCACATTAAACGTCGATTTGAAAATATATTCCTATTTTAAAAAAACTTTATAAACTCATACCGGCCACAACCTGCACACCTGCAGAGCCAGTCAGATCAGGCATTCAGCAGCTCGTGTTTGTGTTTGGTGCAGAAGCCCATGCGCACACGGTCCATCTCCATGACAACGATACAACGCGAGAGGACAGACACACCGCCGCCGGACACTAATGAGTGTAAAAACACGGTAAACGCGGTAAATACAGTAGCTGGTCATCATGTCGAGTTCACAGGCTGAAGGAGTGATAAGAAACATAATCCGAGAAATCTCGCAGACGTGTTTGAGCAGAGGACAAACTCTGAGTGAGACTCTCATCGCGTTCATGGTGAGTCTGAAGTAACGTTACACAAACACACAACACTAACTTACATGACTGAACAACTGTACAACTCTTCAGGTCAGTGGTTGATTGTGTGCAGGTGACAAACACACAACACTAAATTATTATTGTGTCCAGGTAAAAGACACACAACACTGAATTATTATTGTGTCCAGGTGAAAGCTGTAGTTCTGGACCCCACCAATCATTTCAACGTGGACAGAACTCTTACAAAGCAAGATGTGCAGAAACTTATTGAGGTAAACATTCTATCAATCAATCAATCAATCAATCAATCAATCTATCTATCTATCTATCTATCTATCTATCTATCTATCTATCTATCTATCTATCTATCTATCTATCTATCTATCTATCTATCTATCTATCTATCTATCTATCTATCTATCCATCCATCCAGGGGCGCAACTACACATATACTGAGAGGTATGCGGGTTCAAGTTTTGTAACTAAAATAAAATAGTTTTGAACAAAAAAAAAGTTACCAAAAGGCCTGATGTATCAATATGACACATAATAAATTTATAAAAACATGTATATTGTATAAAATGGACCTTGATAGAAGGATTAAAAACATTTCAGTTCCAAAAAATGTGAATATTCGGACAATTTGTTCATGTGTCAACTTTAACAGGGTTAAAAATCATTATAATCAAGTATATAATATTTATATAGGTGAATTTTTAATCCAAATATTTTATCTGAAATATCGGTTTATGTGAAATAGGTCTGTACTTACATTAACATACATTTTGTGTGATCCCTCTTATTTAGGCAAAATAATTAAATAATTAATAATAAATAAAGAAAAAATTCAGATTAATCTTATAACTTTTGACCTCAGCTGTACTGTATGTATGATTTGACAGTTTTATTTTGATAAAAATTGTAAAAAAAATCTAAAGTTACATTTACATGAACACTTTACACTTGGCTCTGCGACTGCATGTTATTGTGTTGATTTTGAATTAAAATGTGTGTGCCAACGTATGCAACTCATGGTATAATTTTTTATTTATTAAAATACAATATTATACTCATACAAAATGCAAAAAAAACATTTTTAACAAAACATATTTATTTATTTATTTTTTATTTGAAACTTTTAGTAAGGATAATTTCAAAAATAGTTTTGGCACAATGGCGCCCCCCCATGTGTGGCGCCCCTATGCGCCGCATATACTGCATACCCCCTTTTTGCGCCACTGCATCCATCCATCTACATCAATTGCTGTTACATTTAACATTTCTACATATTTTATTAATGTTTGCTTTGTTATGATTGGATGATATTATTCTGAGAGACGACTAGCCTATTTGATCATCTGAAATCTGAAACTTCTAAAAAAATCTAAATATTAAGAAAAATTACCTTTAAAATTAAATAAATTACGTTCTTAATGCATATCGCTAATCGAAAATAAAGTTTTGATTTATTTTAGGTGAAAAAGGTAACAACATGATCTTTGACTAGGGGCAGGGCCGGCGCGTCCATAGAGGCGACCTAGGCGGCCACCTAGGGCGGCAGTATAGAGAGGGCGGCGTCTGCTACACCTCCCTTACCACCTGCGTCCTCAGTTATGTCCGCGACACCTCCCCCGCGTCCTCAGATATATTCGCGCATAGACGATAGAATAGAGAGGGCGGCGTCACCTCCATCAGCACCCGCGTGTCCTCAGTTATATCCACGCATAGGGGGGCAGAATTGAGGTCCGCGACACTTGCGCGTCCTCAGTTATATCCGCGCATAGGGAGGCAAAATAAAGAGCGCAGTGTCCGCGACACCTCCCTCCCTTCCTCAACACTTGCGCGTCCTCAGTTATATCTGCGCATATAGGGCGGCAGGATAAAGAGCGCAGTGTCCGCAACACCTCCCTCAGCACCCGGGCGTCCTCAGTTATATCCCCGCAATAGAACGCCGGAAAAGAGGTCCGCGACACCTCACTTCATTTTCATAACCGTTCACTTTCGTTTTCACATTGGGGTTGAGGGCGGCGTGATCGTCCTCTGCCTAGAGCAGCAGTTCAGCTTGCTCCGGCCCTGACTAGGAGTGTAACAGATCATGGTTGATCTGTAATTCATATGGATCACAACCCACGGTTTGGAACACACATGGACTGTGGAACAATACATCAGTACTTTAAATTTCGAATTCAAATCTCATGTATGAAAGCATTTACGCTTTCCTGTAAAATATAATGATGACGGCAAAAGTTGTGGTGGGTTATTCAGGATGTGGTGGGTTTCTCATGTTACTAAAGGTGTTTTCTGTCACTACTTGTTTAGTCTGCATTAATGCGTTCAGTGTAAGTCACACGGTTAATCATTAAAAGATCTGGATCTCAACACCCACGCAACATAAATTATGTAGAAGTTCTGGGAGAACAGTTTATAGTGTAGATAAAACCACTGATGTTTATGATAAAGATTAAAATCTCCATCTTATGCATTTAACAAGCAATTACATTTATTAACCAGTAGGTGGCGACAACCAGCCATCAAAAATATGCCACTGACTAATTCTTCAGAAATGATCATCTAGCAATGAAACATGAGGTTTAATGAGTGAATAACTGAATCATTTATTGAAGATGAGACTAAAATAAATATGGGTTGTACAAATTAGAATGTGAGATTTCTACATTTAGTGTTATCAGCAGCAGTAGTAGTAACAGTGAATATTTCACAGTTTATTTTACAATTTTTCTCAGTCGCTTTGGTGCATTTCTCACAACACTATTTACATTTGCTCAACAGTTAATGCATATCTCAAAACAATTAGTCATTTGTGCACATCCTAGTAGTAGTTTCTCACTCCTTCCAACACTCTGCAGATGCTTTTGGACATGCATCAACTGTTTTCATACAACTCTCTGCTGTTTATAACATTATCATTTGCTTCTGTCATGTCAGTCAAAATTAACTAAACTTGTAAATGCTGAATAGTCATTGCATATAAAACACAATCCTCATTTCATTACTTGAGTCATCACATACAAAAATGTTGAACTAGTTGTCAAAATCTGTCTAGTAAATTTTATAAAAAAATATTAAATCTTTATTTTTCTGAAAATGTCTTCTAAATTGAACAATTTCATAAATGATTTACAGACCTGTGTTGTAGGTTCAGTTCCAATATGTTCTGCAATATAGTTTACAGTTGTGCCCAGCTTTGCCCAAAGGAAGCTTATGCTTGTTGTAAATAAGGGTGTGTTTATTCTTTTGCACAATGCTGTGAATAAATTATAATTGTAAAGAGCAAATGCAGAGTAAAAATGTGAAACATAGATATTCAGTGTCTTGTACTCAGAAACTGTACCTCACTAAACGCAGTCATGTCTAACTTTGCTGTAGTTTTCAAATGGCTGTGCAAATACTATATATAGCGCTTTCTTGAGCATTTTCAGGAGGTGTCACCAAAATCAGACTTTTTTTGCATTGGAAGTAATGTACAGAGTAAACTGTCATAATGAAAACATGACAAAGCCATTTGACTATCTTGTTCATAAACAATGGTGTCAGGACTTTTCATTTTGACGATACTGACACTTTTATTGACATCAATACTTGCTTTTGAGGAATGAGCTATCCATTTTGAGCATGTGACGTGCTTTTGCAGGTTATCAGCTAGGTTTTGCTGTTTGTAATAATTGTTTTGAGAAATGCATTAACTGTTGTGCAGAAATGCCCTGGGGTTGTGAGAAACGCACCAAAGCGACTGAGAAAAACTGTAATTCAGCTGATTATTTCTTCATTTTATTTTTAATAAAATCACAGGTTCTAATTTCTGTGTGTTAAAACCAGAAGTTTCCTGCAGTACTATTTTTGTAATAAATGGAAAGCAAATTACATTTGTCTTCCCCTTTTTTTGGCTGATACAAAAAAATGGTCCGATCCGTGACTAAAAAACCATAATGAGCTCTGAACCATGAGATTTCTGATCAGTTACACCCCTATCTTTGACTGATTGGGGCTGTGTTTTGTGTCTGCAGCTGTGTGTGGACAGACTCATGGACCAGACCAGTCCAACTCTCCAAACCATTAAGATGCAGGTTTACTTCGACATGAACTACACTCCTCGACGTAAGTGTGAACACAACCCAGAGCAGCGGAGATCACAGCAGGGGCGTAAAAAGTACTCAAACGTATGCCTGAGAAAATATTCTCGAGTAAAGCAAACCAAATGGTGATTAAAGGGGTAGTTCACCCAAAAATGAAAATGTACTGACTATTTACTCTCCCTCAAGTGGGTTCAAACCTTAATGAGTTTCTTTCTTCTGTTGAACAAAAAAAGAGGATATTTGAGACAATTCCAGCAGATCTGAGGATATAAGATCTCTTGTTTATATTAAAAAACATAAAGAAAAACAGAATAATAACAGAACAATCCACCATTTTGTGGTGTAAAAATAATATTGTAAAATGTGAAGATAACTAGAGGAGGGTAAAAATACCTCAGGATGATTACAGACAGCAGTAGTGTTTTATTTATAGGTCTGGCTGGTCTGTTCTTCTTCAGCAGTGCTTGTTGCATTGTGTTATAGTGGGAGAGTTTGAGACTCAAAAATCGCAGATGCACTGTAAACAGGGCCGGAGTGGGACTCCTTTACAGCCCTGGAGTTTCAAGCATTAGACCGGCCCACCTCAGTTTACGACTGACTATATTAAAATAAGGTCATTTCCAATTCAGTTTCTAATTACACTATCACGTCTTTGTCAAGAAAACAGCTGATTTAGAACTTCAAATGTTCAACAACCTTACAGTTTTATCAATACAAATGAAGAAAGAAAAAAAGAATTACTCAGGTGAGGATCGAACACAGATCGACGACATTGCAACGCAACGTGCTGACCACTGGATTACAATGGCGCTGTTACACAAGTGTGGCTGGAATGATAGTTACATCATCATTACCCTGCAGGCTGCATTTTGCTCATGGGGCTGCGAGACAATAAATAAGAAGAGCAGAGCTGCAGCAAAATAATGAATAAAAAGAGTGAGGCTATGGTCAAATAAATAATGAAAAGAAAGTTCCACTGCTGAGAGTGAAAGCAGCTAGAAACACCGGCCCTCGTGGCTAAACAGACCGGCCCACCGGGAACTATCCCAGTCCTCCCGATTGGCCAATCCTGGCCTGACTGTAAACCCAAATAACTGACATTACTAGTAAACTGTTTTAATTAAACTGCAATACCCAGTTCAACCACTGGGGGGTCAATCTTACACAGCAGCTTTGACATCCCCTGAGAGTGCAGAATAAACCTCTATTTGATAAATCAATCTTTTTTTATGGTCATAATTGGACTTCAGTTACAGCCGTAGATGAACACAACTAAAGTAAAACACACTCAATCTGTCAGAATATTAGCAGAAGATCATGAAACACCTCCACAAACCATATCAGTAGCTCCTTTATTACTGACCGGACTGACTTTCTTTCTGTCAGACGGCTACAAAAGTCCTCGTCTACATTCACTGAGAGCTGCAAGTTTCCAGGAGTCATTAGTAAAGAACTGCTGAAACCTGATGATGATCTGATCTTTACTAAGAGCTCCAGCGCTGTTCAGCATGAGGGACAAACCAGATTCATCATTCAGTGATTCAGGTGTGTGTGTGTGTGTCTCAGGGGAGTTTCTGGAGATGCAGCAGAAGCTCCTTCAGTCTCGTCTGCAGTCGCTGAGCAGAGAAATCACTGACAGCAGAGCAAAGAGCAGAGAAGATCTGAAGAAGCTGTACGGCACCATAGTCCACTACATCATCCAGAGCTCCAACCTGAGCTCCAGCACAGACATCAACACCGTGAGAGAGACCACAGGTACACACACACATACAAACACACACACTGAAGCTGTACGGCACCGTAGTCCACTATATCATCCAGAGCTCCAACCGTTTTTTTTGATTGTGTGTGTGTGTGTGTGTGTGTGTCTTTTAGCGGCTCTGCAGAGCATCTTTCCCCCGTCTCAGCTGGGAAGCTTCATGTCTCTGCTGAAATCAGACAAAGAGCAGCAGCTGAAGGAAAACTCTCTAATCGTCAGTGGCATTCGGCTCTTCAACAAGGACAACGGTGAAGGAGGAGAGGCCATCCAGAGCCGTACGTCTGCCTCTTCATCATCTTCATCATCATCATCATCATCATCATCAGCTCATGTCGGGTGTGTGTTTCCTCCTGCAGTGCCGTCTATCCTGAACGAGAAGCTGCCGGGCGTCGTCTCAGATCTGGAGCGTGAACTGGCGTCCTGCGAGCGTTTGTGCTGGCAGTACACCGGCCTGCTGGAGCTGATCTCTGAGCGGGACACAGCACACAGCCAGAGCCCCGTCCCGCCCCGGCTGCTCACACAGGCTCTGTACAACACACGGCAGCATGAGGCCTTCCTCAGACTCACACTGGTGCGTTCACACTCATCTCTGCTGCTAAAATAATAATAAGCCAAACTACAGCTGCCAGAGAGCTCTGAATCAACATGTTTAAACTGATCTCTGATATCTACAGAGAAGGTGTGAAGATTTGCTGAGTGCAAACGATCTCCAGAAACAGTTTAACATCTTAGTTTACCCCCTTAGGAGTCTGCCCTGGGATAAAATGATCAGTTTTTACCTTATTTGGAAGGGTCATGAATATTAATGAGTGTCCTGTCACTGACGTTTACGCGATGTAGGGTTGGGTTAATAGACCATGCCATTGTCCATCGCCGATGGTTGATAGATATCACGATGCTGATCCGGCATTGCGATCCTCCGCCCCCGTTGCAGCAGCAACCCTCTCGCGAAAACGACACATTTAGGCCCCGTTCACACTAATACGTCTTACACAATGACTGTAAAAAATATGGACGACGCGACAGCCCCTTTTCCCATTAAACGCCTTGAGGGCAAAACACCTGCTTTACGGGCACAAACTGTCTCAAAAGACTGCTGAAATTGGAGCCTTGACATGCGCAGAAGGACTGTCTGATGGAGCCAGAGGAGGAGCCGCGAAAATGAGCAGAGTCGAGCTTCCAACCAAACGCTTTATGTAAAATCAACCACGCCCCCCGAACTTCTCAGCATGCGTTTGCTGTCATATCAACACAAATGGATGTAATAACGTTAACAAATATGAGTTTTTTTTTATATTCAATCGCGCCAGCTCCGGGCCGCAGCGCTTAACCTACTCGCGGCGTCGCGGGCTGATTCCGCCTCGCATGCGGCAGCGCCGGCTCGCTCGGCCGCCGCATCTGGCTCGATTGACTCGGGCTGGAATCGGGCAGTGAGTCCAGGCATCCGGAGTAGGTCCAGCAGAGGTAGTCAGTCTGAGCTCTGAGGGGTAAGTCTCCGGCAGGCGAGAATCTAGCCGAACTGGTCCGAGTGTATTTTGTCATCTGGGTGGTTAGGCGTGTATCAGCAAACTAATAAAGCCCGAAAAAAGCTCTGACCTTAGCGAATAAACAGTGTTCCACCAGGATCATGTATGTCAGAAACTGTAGTTTACTGCTGAACTCATCTTATCATGGTAAAATAACACAGAAATCGAATAAAAACACTTCAGTCTCCTGCCGAAGCTCAGACGCGCTGCTTTGAGAAACTGTCAATCACCGCTGTCAATCACGATGACACGCCCAGCATTAAATTACTGCTAAAAACAAACTGTTTACAAAAATGAAGATCTGCACCTATTTCAGCACAATAACCAGCGCCTTAATCCACCAGAACCATCTTTCGGGACATTTTATTGCAAGTGTAATAATTTTTTTTACTTGGGCTCAAGTCTCCTTCATTAACACGGAGGAGGCGGGCTTTATGACTTGTACTGCAGCCAGCCCCAAGGGGGCGATCTAACGGCCGAGACCTTCACTCAAACGTAGGCTTGCGGCACACTTGATCTTACAGTTTTTCTTGATTGATTTGATGCAGCCGTCAACTGAAACTCCACATTTTCAAAACAGTTAACACACACTGGCCTAAACAGCGGCACTCTTGGTCAAAATGACACAATTTGCTTGCAAAATGCACATACCGTGTCAAAACATTTAACATATACAACAAAAGCTAGTTTTACCTTCAAACAACACAACTTGCAAACAAGTATATGAACTCTTTCAATTAATCATTACACAATAGACAACAAAATACAGAACTCAGTGTGAATCAGTGCACTGTTGCTTGACATTGTAGCCTATTGCCAATGCCATTTGTTGTCTTTCTATTTGGGCTGTCAAATTTGCCTTTTTGCAAAGAGAATTGGATCCAGAATAAGAAATACTTTGATTAAATTTATATTGAATTCATGACATTTTTCAAACTGTGGCTGAAAAATGCAATACTGTAAAAAAATGCACACATGTAAACCAATATACAGTGAAATCTTTTGGGAATATGGCACATAGCCACTATTGACCTTCTCCATCCATGCTGTCACAGAACAACACAGACCTTCCACCATTTTCAATGTTTGCAGACTGATTGCTAAATGAAGATTTGTGTGAAGGAGTGTCAAACCGGTGCTTCAGTGGATTCATACTGATCTTGGTGGTTTCTAATGGTTAGGAATAGATGGTTTCTGTTTGGTTATCATAGCTAAAACAATGGAGTTTGGACTGCTTGAATGACATCCGTGTTAACGCTTTTGAAAAATGGTGGGGAAAATGTGTCAACCCAATGAGAAAGGGTTTACACATTTGCAAGACCTGTCTTCTGCTCTGCTGTGATAGTGATAATGAAAATGAAGTGGAACCTAGTTTCTTTAACCAGGTCAAAGCAAACAAGAAAAACTGTAATTTTAAAATGCCATTTTAAAACGAAAACAATCCACATCCACACTGGCGTTTCATTTAGTATTTTTGAACAAGCCTCCGTCCACACGATACCGATGAAAATGCACACCACATGACCACACACACGTACACTTTGTCATGTGCTCCAGCGTCTGAGCTCCAGCAGTCCAGTAGAGTGCTGAGTACGCCCTAAAGCCGAAAGGAAAATGAATGATTGAATGAATGAATGTAAGGGCGTACTCACACTATGTACAGTTGCCTTGAACCAGGACAAAGCACGCTTGTCCCCACCTCTCGTCTCCCCTAACAGCCCGCACTCACATTACATTCGGGCCTGGGCACGTCATTGATGCTGCGCTGTCCAGTAAGCGCTCTCGCTCAGCACAGTGGAGATTTCTTCAGTCATATCGCTTTAGTGGTTTGATATGCAGTGACATGCAGTCAAATATTTCGCTGAACAGATCAGCCACTTTTGACGCTCATAAACAATCATAAAGTCCTCGAGCTGCAAGAATTAGGAGGTTTGCTGAAGGTGCGCAGCTGTGGTGCAGTGAGTGGTTTGCGTCTTTAATAATCTACGACAGTTTGTGATTATTGAACGGTAAGAATGATTAATAAATCCATATCAAACAGTCCCTTAAAAGTCACGTCTCGCTTTCAGTTTCGGGCTCAGGCACGTTTTGCAATCTCACACAATTGTATGGTACTCAAGCCCACCTCTTCGAACCGGGCCAGGGCTGGCCAAGTGAACCGTGCCTGACCCTGATTCAGAGCACTCACACTTCTCAAACGATCCAGGAAACGGGCCTGGGCATGATTCAGATAGCATGGTGTGAGTAGGCGCTCAGTGATCTGGAAAGGCTGATGTCTAACACATAGACACACATACTTCAAGAGGAGCGAGAATAGACAGATATTGTGTAGAATATACTGACCCTAACAAATGTTTTTCATCATGCATATTCATATTCAGCAGAAGGGTTTTTATTTATTTGAGTCAAATACAGCATGTAATTGTGAATGAGCACTAATGTTGAGTTTTCAGACAACAGGGGGTGTAACGAATGAGTGTTTAATTATGTAAACAGTGTAATAATGTGGTGTTGATGTTTCCATCAGGCGGACGTCATCCTGTGTGCACAGGAAGTGACACGTTTACAGTCGGATCTGATGAGTCGAATGACACTCCTGAGAGACGCCATTCACACCAAAACTACAGTGCCAACAACACACGTGTTTGTGAGTCCCTCATATACTGCATTTTACACTGTTTCACCATAGTAACTGATATTAAAGTGTATTGCGGTCTTTCACTACAGAAAAACCACAGTAAGAGCTGAGTGATATGACACAGTGCATAAATCTGCATTAAAGTCTGTGTGAACCGAAAGATGCAGAGACGTTTATTGCAGAAACTGAATATTGAGACTGATGTCTAACACATGCACAGACACGGACACTCCAAGAGGAATGAGAATACACAGATATTGTTTTATAGCTGTTTGTGTGTGTGTGTGTGTGTGTGTGTGTGTGTGTGTGTGTGTGTGAGCTGATTAGTAATGTTAGTGTGTGTGTGTGTGTGTGTGTGCTGTTAGTGTGTGTGCGCTGATTAGTAATGTTAGTGTGTTTTTGTGAGCGCGGTTTAGTGTTGTTAGTGTGTGTGCGCTGATTAGTAATGTTAGTGTGTGTGTGTGAGCTGATTAGTAATGTTAGTGTGTTGTTAGTGTGTGTTGTGTGTGCAGTTTAGTGTTGTTAGTGTGTGTGTGTGTGTATATTGTGTGTGTGCGCTGATTAGTATAGTGTGTGTGTGTGTGTGCTGTATAGTGTTGTTAGTGTGTGTGTGCTGTTAGTGTGTGTGCGCTGATTAGTAATGTTAGTGTGTTGTTAGTGTGTGTTGTGTGTGTGCAGTTTAGTGTTGTTAGTGTGTGTGTGTGTGTATATATTGTGTGTGTGCGCTGATTAGTAATGTTAGTGTGTGTGTGCTGTATAGTGTTGTTAGTGTGTGTGTGCTGTTAGTGTGTGTGCGCTGATTAGTAATGTTAGTGTGTGTGTGAGCGCGGTTTAGTGTTGTTAGTGTGTGCTGTGTGTGCGCTGATTAGTAATGTTAGTGTGTGTGTGTGCTATTTAGTGTTGTTAGTGTGTGCGCTGATTAGTAATGTCAGTGTGTGTGCGGTTAGTGTGTGTGTGAGCGCGGTTTAGTGCAGTTTAGTGTTGTTAGTGTGTTTGTGTGTGTGTGTGTGTGCGCTGATTAGTAATGTTAGTGTGTGTGTGTGTGTGTGTGCGGTTTAGTGTTGTTAGTGTGTGTGAGCTGATTAGTAATGTTAGTGTGTGTGCGCTATTTAGTGTTGTTAGTGCGTGCGCTGATTAGTAATGTCAGTGTGTGTGCGGTTAGTGTGTGTGTGAGCGCGTTTAGTGTTGTTAGTGTGTGTGTGTGCGCTGATTAGTAATGTTAGTGTGTGTGTGTGTGTGTGTGTGTGTGTGCAGTTTAGTGTTGTTAGTGTGTGTGTGTGCGCTGATTAGTAATGTTAGTGTGTGTGTGCAGTTTAGTGTTGTTAGTGTGTGTGCGCTGATTAGTAATGTTAGTGTGTGTGTGTGTACAGTTTAGTGTTGTTAGTGTGTGTGCGCTGATTAGTAATGTTAGTGTGTATGCGCTGATTAGTAATGTTATTGTGTGTCTGCTGTTTAGTGTTGTTAGTGTGTTCGCTGATTAGTAATGTTAGTGTGTGTGTGTGCAGTTTAGTGTTGTTAGTGTGTGCGCGCTGATTAGTAATGTTAGTGTGTGTGTGTGTGTGTGTGTGTGTGTGTGTGTGCAGTTTAGTGTTGTTAGTGTGTGGGCGCTGATTAGTAATGTTAGTGTGTGTGTGTGTGCAGTTTAGTGTTGTTAGTGTGTGTGCGCTGATTAGTAATGTTAGTGTGTGTGTGTGTGTGTGTGTGTGTGTGTGTGTGTGTGTGCAGTTTAGTGTGTGTTAGTGTGTGGGCGCTGATTAGTAATGTTAGTGTGTGTGTGCGCTATTTAGTGTTGTTAGTGTGTGTGCGCTGATTAGTAATGTCAGTGTGTGTGCGGTTAGTGTGTGTGAGTGCGGTTTAGGGCAGTTTAGTGTGTGTGTGTGTGTGTGTGTGTGTGTGCAGTTTAGTGGTGTGTGTCTGCTGTTTAGTGTTGTTAGTGTGTTCGCTGATTAGTAATGTTAGTGTGTGTGTGCAGTTTAGTGTTGTTAGTGTGTGTGCGCTGATTAGTAATGTTAGTGTGTGTGTGTGTGTGTGTGTGCAGTTTAGTGTTGTTAGTGTGTGGGCGCTGATTAGTAATGTTAGTGTGTGTGTGTGCGCTATTTAGTGTTGTTAGTGTGTGTGCGCTGATTAGTAATGTCAGTGTGTGTGCGGTTAGTGTGTGTGAGCGCGGTTTAGGGCAGTTTAGTGTGTGTGTGTGTGTGTGTGTGCAGTTTAGTGTTGTTAGTGTGTGTGCGCTGATTAGTAATGTTAGTGTGCGTGTGTGGTGGTTAGTTAGTGTTTGTTTTGTAGTGGCGTCATGGTAACTAGTTTCTGTGTGTTCCTCTCCTCTTCAGCCTCATTTCAGTGCAGTGGGCCGGCTGTGGGCGGGGCTAGAGCAGGAGATGCTGCTACTGAGCATGCTCACTAATGTGGCGTCTGGACTGAGAGTCTTCCTGACAGCAGAGTCTCTGCTGACCCCAGATCAGATGGAGCTCCCGGTGCGCACTGATGCTGACAGATGCTCTGGGACAGCAGGTCACACACACACACACACACACACACACACAAACACACGCACACGTGTTAATATGTCACTCAGATCTGCTGGTTTCACTCAACTCTTCATCGACACGACTCCAGATTAAGGGTTTCTGGAGCATCATGGGGTTATAAAAGCTCTTTTCCAGACACTGAAAGTCAGAGATGTTTATATCTTTAATAATTAGTTATTCTGAAGTTCATATTTTTAATATTTAGTTATATTTCGTTTATATTTCTGTCAAAGTTCTGAAATATTAGGGATATTGACTGTAGATTTAGATGTAGTTTTCTAGGGTGTGTGTGAAGCCGACAGGAGCAGCATCTCTCTGTTAGCATCTGACTCTGCTATTCAATCATGTTTGAACTACAGATTTGAGTAAATTAATTGTTATTCATTGTTTCAATCTTATGTTGAAGGCTGATATATTGCTGCAGTGCATTCTGGGAGCCGTGCATGAGTTTTGTAGGATTCTCCCAGCATGCACTGCAGCATGAAGAATATCATCGTTGTTGAGATTCATACTCTGATTCCTGATGTCTTTGTGTGTGAAGAGATTCCTAATGTTGTGTGTGTGTGTGTGTGTGTGTGTTCAGAGGAGCGTGTGCTGGTGTCAGAGACGAGCTCGTGTGAATGCTGTTTTCCTGAAAGCACTGCAGACTTCCAGCATCTGCCGCTGCAGTATAACGGCTTCTGCGGAGTCGCTCTGGTGGACAGAAATGGCCTTTTACTGCCAGGTACAAACAGGAAACAGTAGCTGAGATTTTATCACTGCAAAAACAAAGTGTATGATTGATTATTGCTGTTGTTGTGGAATATTGCACTGTTCATAATAAATTATTATGGCGGCTTGAGAAAGCAGCATACTGTTCTAAACTTCTTATTCTTCCGTCGTCTTCTTCAGAGATTAACTTCTAAATGCATCTCCTCCTAGACTGTTCAAACTACAACCACCAAACTAACACCAAACCTCCAAACTATACTGAATT